GTCGCACGCCAGGAATTTTATCAAGCGCAATCAATCTTCCAGAAACCAATGCTCGCATTTTCTACCATGGTAAGATTTGATTGCACTTTTTTGTGGCGAGAGTTGCAACTTCGTCTCTCAAGTGAGAACTGTGAGTCCCATGACGTAATAAAACCGTCTGCCAATGCTCAGAATCTGTTTCCAAAGCTCCCGAACTGCCCTACAAAGAACGTGTCGTCTTTTCAATGGAAACAGAACTGATTATAACATCTTCAAAGTCGGGTAAAACTGGCACTTGCAATCGCGACGAGAGATGTGACTTGTGTGGCTCTGCATGCTTTGACTTCAAAGTCTCTAAAACGGTTACACCCTTCTTCACCTCTTGCATCGGATCAAGCACACCCACGCATAGCACTTCTCACTTTGCCTTTCATCATTAATGAAGCAAACACTTTCGAGACATGTTCGTCGTCCAAATTATCTTGATTTATTTGTTTCTTTTTGCCACATCTCACTGCTTCCGCCAACAACTTGTCGAATTTGCTTTTCTTCCAGTCTTCAATGTGCCGTCCAATAAGTATTCGAATGTCTTTTGATGCTTTGATCATTGGATTTCTTTGTAACAAAACACGGCTCATCACCAGAACTCTTTCTGAAGTGGAATGACCAGTGGTAGAAAGAAGCTTCAGTTCATGTGTCATGAGGTCGACGTACTTCTTACCAATGTTACCATTAGGCAAAGTATATAGTCTTTTTGGCAACCGTACACTTTTCACCCATCTTTCAGTCCAAATCGAATGATCAAGACAAGTTGATTTGTCAAGTGACGCACCGAATGTTTCCATCATTATGTCTTCGTCATGGCTTTCAAGATTCGGATCAGTTTCTGGTAGCACATCTTCTATTTTAGGTCTTGCATGGCTTGAGTTTATCCTGTGCGGCCATTGCTTGTCGGTGTTACATTAACGCGGTCATCGTTATCTTGTGATATTAACAAGTCTTCCACTTCAAACCCGCTGGTATTGGAAACACTGAGCTGCGAATCAGAATGATACCCCAAATAACTAGGCGGTTTGATAATTCTCTGAGTCCGCCTCATGATATCACGAGCGTTCCTCGAACCAAACTCGAACTCTTCCCGAGCACGGGCCACTCTGCTCCAGAAATGAGCTCATCTCCAAACACGAGTTCCAAGTACCAGCTCTGTACCAAACACACACGAGCTCCAAGCACCGGCTCTGCAACCAACACGAGCACCAATCCACAAATTAGCTTTACTCCGAACACGTTCTCTGCTCCAAGCTCACGAGCTCAGCTCCAAACTCGAGCTCTGATCCAAATACGAGCACTGCTTGAGATAAAATGTCCGCTCAGTTGTCGATGTTGCAGTGGTTATTGGTTTTTTTTTTGTTTTTTTTTCTTGCTTAACAAGACACGTGCATGATTTTCACACACATATATATTTTTAATCTTGTTTTAATCTATAAAACCCGTAGCTTAACAAAAAACAAATCAAAGGTGAAATATCTTTTCAAATTTACGCTCAGGGCAATAAAACTCTCTGAATGATATTTTAAAAATTCATTGCTATTTAAATATGGCTAGGTAAAAAAGTCGATATTTGTTTGAAGAAAAAAATACCAGCCCGAGCACAAATACCCAATTACTATTGGTACATAAGTCGGAACAATCAGCAGCTGTAATACAGTTCTAGGCGTTGATTTCGAAACAAGGAACTGTCTTTTGATTGTCTAGGTCTCATTATTTGTCGAACGAATTTTTTAACACTTTATTTGCTTAGATTACAGCCTTTTATGGTTCTTAAATTACATTAAACATTACAAGGCCAAGCTGTGAACCATATAGGAGCACAATTTTGTGTCTGTATGTTCCTGGATTCCAGAGACAAGTCCTTAAACATGTTAAAATTTTGTCGGAACGATCAAAGAGAAGGAAAGAAAAAAAGAAGAACAAAGGGAGCCTCCTTGTTGTGAAATACGCTTACAATGCACAAAATGCACAGTGTGGCCTCGTAATGAAATTATATCTCATTATAATGGCGCAGTCAAACGAACTAAACTTTGGGGGGGGGGGGTTATCTGAAACTTGGCCACCCAAGAAACACCTTTAGACAGAAAAGATCTGAAAAGTTTCAAACAACCAAAATTGCAAAATATTCAGTCGATGTCGAAGGTATAATCACATTTAAGATTTTTCACGATCGAAGTTTTTTACCTATCATTTTTGAAACAGTTTTCCAAAAAAATTTTTGGAACATTATTTCGTGACATTGCATAACAGCAGTGCCCCAGTTGTTCTCTTTCATCGAATCTCGAATTTGGCAAGAACAAAAACGATCAGCTGTATTTAAAGATTTTGAAGATTTCTTTTGAACCTCAGAATTCATAAAAACCTTAATTCCATAGTTTTGAGTATTCAGATCTTAAACATAATTGCTAAAGGCAATGATTTAGATTTCGTTGATTGATTGTTTTGCGGTTCAGTTGAGAGAGAAAGAGATCTGAAAAAGAGATTTTATCAATAAAAGTTGATGATATTGGAAGTGTAGGGTCTGTTTCACTAAAATTATTATATTATTATCTACTATTATTATTATCAGTTACGATGAAAATAATAGATTACAATAGATGAAAATGGGTTACAATGAATGAAAATGGTTTATAACAGATTATAATTTTTTAAAGCAGAATCCTGGATTTTCCAAAACTTTTTCGTTTGTACTTCAAAAACTGAACGTTACCTCGCAATTGTTAAATTGCAAATTACATTTCGCTACAGCAAAAATATTGTTCAGTTGTTTTCTACGGCAGTACGACAGTGTTCTGCGGCTTCTTTTTGACTAATTTTCTACTCCCACCTACAACCAAGTCCAAATAAGTCCCTTATCAAAATTTGAAAAAGCTCGAAAAATCAATTTAATGATAAAACAAAAAATAAAAAATCGCGACAAAATTATAATTCGAATTTTTTGAAAAAAAATTCTGAAAAATTATTACAGATTAAAAACAATTGCGGGTTCCTTTACCTATAACCAATTCTGTTGGCATCATTTTTGGACCAAAAAAATTGATTATAATTGATTAATATCCATGAAACCGCAGTGCGGGGTGCCCGTGGAAAAGAAATAAGTCTAGGTCCAAAATGATGCAAACTTAAGGCTGAAAATAGTATGAATTTTGTTTTAAGTTTTTCTATAAGGTGGCCGTTAAAAACTTCAAAAAAAGTCAGTGATCTCAATAAACTGTAGCTTTTTATATAATTTTTCACGGTTCGTTTTTCGAAAAAAAAAAGATAATGTATTTTTTTGTTGACCTTTTTTCGTAAAACTAGCTCAATTGAAAAAAAACTAGGTTAACGGACAACTTTTGTAATCACTGAGAAATGTAATCTACATAAAACGAATTTTCATAATAAACGAGTATTTTGGAAAATCATTGTCAAACTGTCTAAAGTTTTTAGAAAAAAAGGATTATAAACCATTATGAATGGATTGTAGTCCATATTATTGTCTAGTCAATAAAAGCTATTTAAACGGATTATAATCAGTTTATAATCCGTTTAGCTTTTATTAGTTATAATGGATTCTAATTCTTTTGTTGCAAATATACCTAAATTTTTTGCAGTATAAGCACAGTTCAGTTTATTTTCCACTTAACAGTTGCTATTGGCTTGATGCATGTAAGATCAGATAAAACTAGTGGATGCGAAGGGGAGGGGGTACAAATGTAGATGCGCGGCGAGCAGGGGGCAAATCTGAAAGCAAAGGGAGTGGGTGGTGATAAATGTGAGGGGAGGACAGTATGGGTATGGTTTGGGGGGACGGTTTGGGGATAACGAGGAGGTGGTATATATGGATGCGGTTAACCGGGGGCATGGAGGGGGGGGGGGGGGGTGCTTGGAATAAACGTGGGTGCGGTAAACTAGCGGTAAATGTGTAAATGTGCCTTATATTTCAAACTGAGTAGGCTTAGATTGCGAAAAGGCCGCAAGTAATCCAGCAATGTTGCAATGTTTTGCAAGAAACTATATGAAGATCATTATTCATCATAATCTATTATGATGGCTTTGATACTGATCATAATCCATTATAAGAGGTTTCGATGGATTGTGTTTTTACGGAAATGATCAATTATATTGACAATATAATCGGTTTCTTGGTCTAATTTTGCAACAATAGTGGGTAATTATGACAACCTTTTGACCGACATTTTTCAAATATAAGCGATAATTGTCCCTGGAACTCCGGTGCCGGTAAAAGTTAAAATCCTAATCGAAAACACACTTCTCTTATATTTTCTTGCGCCATTTTAACTTTTGTAAGCGCAGATCGCGCTTTGTTTTGTTTATCAATTGCATTTGAACAAAAAAGAGAAAAAAACTCAAAACGCATAAAAAAATAAATTTGAAGGTGATCAATTTTTCCTTTAAAAAATGAAAAACCTTAAAACTTCTTCAGTTCGTTCGATAGCACAGAACAAAATTTTATATCAAAATTCTAGCTGAAAATTGACCTCTATTCTTTAGCAAGTGAATAGATCCGACGCGTTCTTATGCCAGAAGCATAAAATTACTGGATGTTTTTACTAAAGGCTAAGCTAAGACTTTAACCAGTTCCCAATCACTCTCCTAGCATGCATTAAAGTCAATTGGCATGAAAAAGACATATAACCTCTAACAGAGGACTAACTGAAGATCTCCGACGTGTAGTGAAGGGTTCAGATTTTTGAGGGAGATTGAACCGTCTCCCATATTCTCGCACGGAACACGCCCTTAAATTTGTCTCTGATCCCCGATTTTTAATTTTTTTTCAATTTTGAAAAGTTTAGGTACCAAAAATGTTTTTATGAAGTTCTTGGTTTGCTCTTCATTTTAAATTCAAAGCTTTATTCTTGTTGCCTCGGCTTTTGACTAGACTTTTGACTCGGCTCCTAACTCGGCTTTCGACTCGGCTCTTGACTTGGCTTTCGACTCGGCTCTTGACTCGGCTTTCGACTCGGCTCCTAACTCGGCTTTCGACTCGGCTCTTGACTTGGCTTTCGACTCGGCTCTTGACTCGGCTTTCGACTCGGCTCTTGACTCGGCTTTCGACTAGGCTCTTGACTCGGTTCTCGGCTCGGGTTTCGGCTACCCTCGTCATTTCCCCCGCCCCCTTCAACTTCGATTTCAATTTCTGTATTTCTTACTGGCAATTCTTCGCATATAAACGAACCCACTATTCGTATTTCACCATCGGATCTAGGTGTGTACTGAAAGCGAATGTAACACGAGTCTTTCGGCGGCACTGGGTTTCTGAGCGGGAACTCTTTCTTACGTCTCATATAAGGTGCATCTACTTTGAAAACGCCTTTTGTCAACTCTATATCCAATTCGTTGTAATATTTAATTCTCAGATCCAACGTTTGACCTTTCTTATACGGCCCCTTCGAAACGACCTCTAATTCTGGCTCGTTAGCGTCTAATTCTACTGTAAACTTTTCAGCTGTCATGTCATTTTTCTTCTCAATGTGACAGAAAACTGTAAAAACAAGCGTGTTGTTGTCTTGCAAGTCCTTCAAAACTTGTTCTCGTTTTATTACACCCTGGTACGGACTATCTCTCGGTATGCTAATTTTTCGGCTATCATGCATAATTTCTCTCAAAATTTTCCCGTGATAAGTCACTAAATTGCAAGTCACAATTAAGTGCGCCTCGCAATTTTCGTCATGGTCGTCTAAAGATTTGATAAAAAATTGATATTTTAAGTCTTTGCTCATTCTAAACTCCTCGGGCAAATCACTTTTGATTTCAACTTGATCCTTGTTTTTTACTTCGTCGTAAATCGAGGGTCGCGTACCACAAGAAACGGCCATGAAAGTCTGTTTTCTTTCCTCAGCAGAACCCTCTTTGTACTTGTAGTTTCCAGTTACGTTGTCACTTGCGTCGCCGGCCACATCTGTCATCACGGCTTTCCCAATCTTCTTCGGATGGTTGTACACTTTTTTCAATTTGTACTTAATTTCCATCTTTTTCTTACACCACATAGCACAGTCGGCGTTCACTTCGGCGAACAGGAATCCAGCATCGTAAGGCATGTAACACTTGCCTTCTTTTATTGCATTAACTGACGCAGGGCCACATTGTTTCAGGCTGCCGCTGTCTTCTTGAGGCGTAGCATCGACCGCCTGCCAGCCTCCATACTTGTCTCCTAAATCTGGTCTTTTAAACCATGCTTCATTCCAGACATGAAAGTTCCACATTTTCTCGTGCTCTTGGCGTTTTCTTTCGCCATCATCGTACTCATATTTGATGTCGGATACCAGGTTCCCGTTGTCGTCATGAAGGGATCCCTTGCATGTGACACTTCGCGATGGGATCCCTAGACACCTCAAAGCAGTCGTCAGACATCCGGCAAAAACCCAGCACTGCCCATATCTTACGGCTCTGTTTTTTTTGAAGTATAGCCGGAATATTTCAACAGATCCTGTCCAGTGAGAAGGCCTCTTCCCGCCCCCATATTGTTCCGGATCCCAACATCCGTAAATCAATCCGTCATCATCGTTGCAGTTCACGATGGCACTTAAAGCACGAGAAACATTAACTGGACTAGCTTTGGCAGCCGGACTTAAACCTTTTGCTTTATTAAGCAAGTCCAAAACTGCATCTAAAATACCCGTTTCAAATTGCCCGTAAGTCCACCAATTGTATCGTTTCTCGCCTCTGTAAATTTTTCCACTTTCGTCTTTTATGTATTTTTGAATTCCATCTTTATCCTCCATATAACATGGGTCCTCCTCGCACCAAGGGTTGAACAAAATCACAACCCTAAATGGCGGCTCTTCATTCACGAATAATTTCCATTCACCCACAATGCAAGTCGCTGGTATTTTAACTCTTTTGCCCTCCGTGTCAAGTTTAAACCCGGCAACGTTTTCATCTTTATCGTCTTTTTCCAAGCAAACTTCGGTGACAGCTTTGTTGGATTTCCTGTCGTTATCATCTTTCGCTCTCGCGTTCTTAACTTTCACAAAAGCGACTCGATCTAGATCGACCAAAAAGTCAATGTAAAAACCACGACGAACAATAAGAAATTTCTCGTCAAACATATCTGTATGGTTTGCTTTCTTTACTTTTTCCACGTCAATAATTTTGTCCGGAATCGATTTCATGCTTTCGCTTTCGTCTATTTCACTTGGCAACGAACTTGGAGCTCGCCACTCGTGTTCATTATTCGCATTGATATCTGGAAGCGCATCTTCGCCGCCTAAATTTCGGCCTTGTTCCGGTCTGGCAAAACTCTCTCCTTCTCGCAAAGGTTGACTTCTTTTCTTGGAGCCTCTGGATGCTGCTGGTTCTGTACCGGCGTTCGAGCGATAGTTTGGATCTTCGTGTGGCATGTCATCACCTAGATAAGCATCGTTATTTTTATAGGATCGGAGAGTTTGTTTATTGTGAGTTCAATCAAAAGCAGCAATAGCACAAAATTTCGTTTTCAGCTCGTAGATTTTTTCTTAAAGCTCTTTCTTTGTTGCATTGCACTGTTTGTGCAATAAATCGGAAAATAAATGTATATGTACAAAATCAGCCATAAGTGTGCGAAAAAAATGAAAAATGTGACAAACTTTAAAAAAACAAATTGAGTACATTTATAGTGATAAGCATAATCAAAATGGTACTTCATAAACACTTTTTTGATTGATGCGAGGTAAAGTTTAGATATATGATCTATTGCACTGTGCAATAATAGCCAACTGCGACATCGGTTGTTTCACAAATGTCGCCTGATTTTTCAAAATAAAATCAAAATATGACGATTCGAAAGTGTACTTCATTTAACAATGTACTCACAAGTTGAAGAACTAGCAGAAAATTCGGCTTATTTCGTATATTTATTGCATCCTTTCAAATTGCTACCAGCGCCAGATCTATAAGCCAGGAGCAATTTCATATTTGAATTTTAGTGGTTAATTTAAGTTTTTTTACCCTTAAGAGAACCTCAAATGCGTGTCGATTGACGCCTCAAGAGCCAAAGTGTAAAAAAATAAATTTTTGAACACTTCACACAGTTTTGAACACTTCACACAGCATATTATTGAAATTTTTTAAATGATATCCTCAAAATTTGAAAAAAATGCCTTTCTAAATCCTATTTGTGATAATTATCATTGGAAAAAGGAAAAAACACTTTATTTTGTTTGTTTTAACCTTTGTATAAAAACAGAAAACACAGAAACTCATCTCCTAGACGATCTCAAAATTATTATATGAAGGTCTAAAAACTGATGAGTTAGTTTCTCTACATTTTTTTATGTAAAGCTCATCATAAAATCCAGTAAAATTGATTCATCGAAGTTAAATAATAAATTTTAAAATTTTCTGATTCTTTTATTGATTATTCTACAATAATACACTTTGGCTTTTGTCTTTGTCTTAACTCCGATCTTCGTTGTCATCGGTTAGCAAAAACAAGATTTAAACACATCCGACCGTATACAATAGTTAATACAGTCATGAAGTGTTCTTTTTAAAAACCTTTTTCTAATTTTTTCATTAATTTGATAATATTTAGTTTTCTACTGGTATAGTTTTTGTATTTATTTTTCCTTATTCGTAGAGTGTATGTTGTTTTTGATAATAAGAGTTCGAAACGTTCTGTTTTCGTAACCTGAAAAAATGTATTTTGATTAAAATCAAAACTTGGTAATACACTTTACCTGTGAGCAAAAAAATCGACTAGATTAATGATTATATGTTAATTTTGTGATCACAAGATAGTTAATTTCTTTGTTTTTAGTTTAGTTATGCAGTTGACGTTTGAATGGAACTAAAATGTTCTACTTTTACCTTCAGTTAATAAAAGCTTATTGCTCTTCATCCACATTGAAAAGCGCTGATTTTTGTCTGTCATTGATTTGCCTTAATCTATGTTCATGTCAAACAATGTGAGTCTCTTGCAAAAATGGTTATTTTCTTGCTGGTTTATACAACAAGAAGATTTTTCACGAAAAACTTGAAAAATAAGGACCTATAACCGAGCTCTAGGCACCCCTTATTTTATTGAACGCATCTTAAAAAACTCTTTTTCAATCATTACAAACTGGTATCTGTTTTAAAGATGCACTTTCAGAGCGCCATGTAATGGATGTCGAAATCTACGTCGATATTTTTGCAAAAAAAGGAGCAGTCAACAGATCAAAAAATTGATATAAGAAATTTGATATAATCAGCCTAAAATGCATAATTTGTCAATAGTAACCTTCAAAAGCAATTGTATCATAGTTTGTTCTGATTTTCAGCCTCATTTACTACAATGTATTACAAAAAAACATTCGTTTGCTGGCCTAACCCAAACGATGTATCCTTATAGAAAATTTAAGCATTTCCAATAATTGGTCAAAAATGAAACCATTTAAAAAAAAATCCAAAATTTTTGAAATCCAAGCGTTTTGATCTCGTAAAATTATACTAAAGGATTATACCCAAGAATTTATGGGGATGGGCAGTCGAAACCACACCCACCGAGTGTAGATTTTAGTTGGTTTTTCTTTTTTTTCCTTGCAAAACAAGTAAAAAATAGGACCGCTTGTTGAAACGCTTTATTTCGTTCGTGAACCGAACGGAATTGGAATTTTTTTAGAAAGTTGACTCCGTTTTTTTTTTTAAAAAAAATGGTGAATTTTTTGCTCCTGAAATGTTTGCTTGGTGGAGTTTTGAGGCCTTTTGCGCTTTAATGATAAATTTGCTTTATATATATATATCTATTTGTTTGCGATGTAATTTATCATACCTTCTGGTAAGTCCTGGTGGTGTTTAGCTTCCACAGGGCGAAAATGATCCGAATGGGTTCCTTGACCGGTTCCTCCGCTATTGCGGTTTCTTGAGACTGGTTCTGTAAATGCTGTGCTGGCTGCATTTCTAGCCGAAGGCTTCGGTTGGCTTCTTCTGCTGTCTCTGGGATTACCATTTGCAGCTGAGTTTGGTTTCGTACTGCCCGGTCGGTCAGGTGTAACCTGACTTGCCCTTGTTGGGTCGGGCTTCACATCTTGGTTGTTTCGGTACTCAGGATCATGCGTAGGCATGTCGTCTCCTTCGGGAAGCTCTTGATGATGCCGAGACTCCACGGGTTTGAAATGATCAGAGTGGGTTCCACGGGCAGATGCGTTGTTGTCATTTTCACGTGACACTGGTTCTGTGAAGGTTGTGCTAGCTCCACCTCGCGCTGAAGCTCCCGCACCGTCTTGATTGGTAGCTCCAAGATTCTCACCTTCATTGGGCTGAATAGTTCCATCCTCACCTCTTGAGGGTCTGCCAGCGTTGCCATGGTAGTTCGGATCTTCGGATGGCATGTCATCACCCTCTGGTAACTCTTGGTGATTTCGAGACTCTACCGGCCGGAAATGATCAGAATGAGTTCCTTGAGCTGATCCCCCACTATCAGGTGCCCGCGATACAGGCTCCGTGAAAGCAGTACTAGCTGCATTACGTGGAACTGGCTGAGCTGCACTTCCACGGTTTGTCTCGGGTTTTCCAGTGCCAAGACGATCGCCGGAAATTTGGCTCGCTCTGGTCGTATCCGGTTGCACATCAGCATTATTTCGATACTCGTTGTCTTCCGGAGGCATGTCATTTCCTTCTGGTAAACCCTCGTGATCTTCAGACTCCATTGGTCGAAAATTATCTGAATGTCTGCCACTAGCTGGGCCGCCTCCTTGATCTTGGTTCCTAGACACCGGTTCAGTAAATGTTGTGCTAGCACCAGTCCGCCGTCCCATAGCGTTGCCTTCTCTTTCTCCTGACTCGCTAAGATTATTGCTACTTTCCGCTTTGAAGGTATCAGAAGCAGCATTTGAGGGTCGGCCAGATCTTCCACCAGCCGTTGCGGCGGCGGGATCATCAGGCTCAGAATGCTTTATCGTCTCCACCTCGGTTCCTTCAGGAAGTGCACCTTGGTCCTCGCCTTCAACCGATTTGAAATGCTCGCTGTGTGCTCCCTGGCTTTCACTTGGTCCAGATTGCCGTTTGCTAGCTGATGCATTTCCTGTAGGTTCTGCTCCTGCATCTCTTACTGTATCATCAAAACTCTGGGCCTTCTCGGATATAGGGTCATCCGGCCCAGGTTCCCCAGTCGGTTCTGCAGGCTCAGTGGGGGGTTTGTTTTCACCTTCATAGCCAGGTCGTTTTTCTAAGCCAGATAAGTCTTCAGCTGATGCCATTGAGTCGTTTTTAGCCATAGTGCGCATTTCAGAATCTCCATAATACTCGCTATCATCTGGTTCAGACAGACTGTACTCCAAAATTCCATATTTGGGACCTGTAGATCCGGTTTTTTTGCTTCGCTTTGAAGTAGCTCCACTTTTGCGACGTCTAGACGATGTCACAGAACCACGGGGTTTTACCTCGGCTGTTCCCAGTGAATCTCTCTTTTCAGAGAGATTGTCATCATCATCGTTGTCATCGCCTTCAACCTCTTTTCCATCTTTTTCATTTTCCGCATTTGGTGCCATACGAGGTGACGGTTGGCTGACAACGGAAGTTCTTTGAGGGGTTGTCTGGTAATCCGAATGGCTACCTTGGGGTTCGGGTCCCTGTGATGGTCGTTGACTCGCGGGATCATCAGGATCTCCTGGTTGTGGAACTTGAGATGGTCGCTGACTTGGCGTTCCCTTCGAGGGATCATTCGGATCACCTGGTTCTTGAACTTGCGATGTTCGCTGACTTGGCGTTCCCTTCGAGGGATCCTTAGGATCTCCTGGTTCTGGATCACCCGTTGATTTATCGGGAGGTGCTGTCTCTTGTTTGCTGGGACGAACAGATCCGTATCCTCCTTGTGTTGGAGGCGTGTCTCTGAAATGCTCTTGAGCAGGGTGCATTGACTCTTTTGCACTACTAGGAACAGTTCCAGATTTATTTGATAACGGTCCGTAATGGGTTGACCTATTAGTCCCCTGACTATGAGGATCTGATTTAACCTGAGCTGTAGAGTCTTGACTAGGAACACCAAGTGATTTACTCGGATCAGACCCGCCTTTCGATTTTGATGAGTGTTTCTTTGATTCAGTTACAGCAGAACTTCTTTCAAGTGCAGTACCTCCAGCGGCCGATCCATAGGGAGCTGTTCCATCTGCAGCAATGCCCTCAGCAGCCGACCCATATGGAGCTGTTCCATCTGCAGCAGTGCCCTCAGCTGCTGTTCTCTCTGCAGCCGACCCATAGGGAGCTGTTCCATCTGCAGCAGTGCCCTCAGCCGCTTTTCCCTCAGCGGCCGACCTATAGGGAGCTGATCCATCTGCAGCAGTTCTCTCAGCTGCTGTTCCCTCAGCTTCTGACCCATAGGGAGCTATGCCATCTGCAGCAGTGCCCTCAACTGCTGTTCCCTCAGCAGCCGACCCATAGGGAGCTGTTCCATCTGCAGCAGTGTCCTCAGCTGCTGTTCCCTCAGCAGCTGACCCATAGGGAGCTGTTCCATCTGCAGCAGTGCCCTCAGCTGCTGTTCCCTCGGCAGCCGACCCATAGGGAGCTGTTCCATCTGCAGCAGTGCCCTCAGCTGCTGTTCTCTCTGCAGCCGACCCAGAGGGAGCTGTTCCATCTGCAGGAGTGCCCTCAGCTGCTGTTCCCTCAGCATCCGACCCATAGGGAGCTGATACATCTGCAGCAGTTCCCTCATATGCTGTTCCCTCAGCTGCTGACCCATAGGGAGCTATGCCATTTGCAGCAGTGCCCTCAGCTGCTGTTTCCCCAGCAGCTGACCCATAGGGAGCTGTTCCATCTGCAGCAATGTCCTCAGCTGCTGTTCCCTCAGCAGCCGACCCATAGGGAGCTGTTCCATCTGCAGCAGTGCCCTCAGCTGCTGTTCCCTCAGCAACCGACCCATAGGGAGCTGTTCCATCTGCAGCAGTGCCCTCAGCTGCTGTTCCCTCAGCTGCTGACCCATAGGGAGTTGTTGCATCTGCACCAGTGCCCTCAGCTGCTGTTCCCTCAGCAGCCGACCCATAGGGAGCTGTTCCATCTGCAGCAGTGCCCTCAGCTGCTGTTCCCTCAGCTGCCGACCCATAGGGAGCTGTTCCATTTGCAGCAGTGCCCTCAGCTGCTGTTCCCTCAGCTGCCGACCCATAGGGAGCTGTTTCATCTGCAGCAGTGCCCTCAGCTGCTGTTCCCTCAGCTGCCGACCCATAGGGAGCTGTTCCATCTGCACCAGTGTCCTCAGCTGCTGTTCCCTCAGCAGCCGACCCATATGGAGCTGTTCCATCTGCAGCAGTGACCTCAGCTGCTGTTCCCTCAGCTCCCGACCCATAGGGAGCTGTTCCATCTGCAGCATTGCCCTCAGCTGCTGTTCCCTCAGCTGCCGACCCATAGAAAGCTGTTCCATCTGCAGCAGTGCCCTCAGCTGCCGACCCATAGGGGGCTGTTCCATTAGCAGCAGTGGCCTCAGCTGCCGAACCATAAGGAGCTGTTCCATCTGCAGCAGTGCCTTCAGCTGCTGTTCTTTCAATTGCCGACTCATAGGGAGCTGATCCATCTGCAGCAGTGCCCTCAGCAGCTGTTCCCTCAGCTGCGGACCCATAGGGAGCTGTTTCATCTGCAGCAGTGCCTTCAGCTGCTGTTCCCTCAGCTGCCGATCCATAGGGAGCTGTTCCATCTGCAGCATTGCCCTCAGCTGCCGACCCATAAGGAGCTGTTCCATCTGCAGCAGTGCCCTCAGCTGCTTTTCCTTCAGCAGCCGACCCATAGGGAGCTGTTTCATCTGCAGCAGTGCCCACAGCTGCTGTTCCCTCAGCTGCCGACCCATAGGGAGCTGTTTCATCTGCAGCAGTGCCCTCAGCTGCCGACCCATAAGGAGCTGTTTCATCTGCAGCAGTGCCATCAGCTGCTGTTCCCTCGGCTGCCGACCCATAGGGAGCTGTTCCCTCTGCAGCAGTGCCCTCAGCTGCTGTTCCCCCAGCTGCCGACCCATAGGGAGCTGTTTCCTCTGCAGCAGTGCCCTGAGCTTCTGTTCCCTCAGCTGCCGACCCATAGGGAGCTGTTACATCTGCAGCAGTGCCCTCAGCTGCTGTTCCTTCAGCTGCCGACCCATAGGGAGCTGTTTCATCTGCAGCAGTGCCCTCAGCCGCTGTTCCCTCAGCAACCGATCCATAGGGAGCTGTTCCGTCTGCAGCAGTGCCCTCAGCCGCTGTTCCCTCAGCTGCCGACCCATAGGGAGCTGTTCCATCTGCAGCATTGCCCTCAGCTGCCGACCCATAAGGAGCTGTTCCATCTGCAGCAGTGCCCTCAGCTGCTTTTCCTTCAGCAGCCGACCCATAGGGAGCTGTTTCATCTGCAGCAGTGCCCACAGCTGCTGTTCCCTCAGCTGCCGACCCATAGGGAGCTGTTTCATCTGCAGCAGTGCCCTCAGCTGCCGACCCATAAGGAGCTGTTTCATCTGCAGCAGTGCCATCAGCTGCTGTTCCCTCGGCTGCCGACCCATAGGGAGCTGTTCCCTCTGCAGCAGTGCCCTCAGCTGCTGTTCCCCCAGCTGCCGACCCATAGGGAGCTGTTTCCTCTGCAGCTGTGCCCTGAGCTTCTGTTCCCTCAGCTGCCGACCCATAGGGAGCTGTTACATCTGCAGCAGTGCCCTCAGCTGCTGTTCCTTCAGCTGCCGACCCATAGGGAGCTGTTTCATCTGCAGCAGTGCCCTCAGCCGCTGTTCCCTCAGCAACCGATCCATAGGGAGCTGTTCCGTCTGCAGCAGTGCCCTCAGCCGCTGTTCCCTCAGCTGCCGACCCATAGGGAGCTGTTCCATCTGCAGCAGTGCCCTCAGCTGCCGATCCATAAGGAGCTGTTCCATCTGCAGCAGTGCCCTCAGCTGCTGTTCCCTCAGCTGCTGACCCATAGAGAGCTGTTCCCTCTGCAGCAGTGCCCTCAGCCGCTGTTCTCTCAGCTGCCGACTCATAGGGAGCTGTTCCCTCTGCAGCAGTGCCCTCAGCTGCCGACCCATAAGGAGCTATTCCATCTGCAGCAGTGCCCTCAGCTGCTTTTCCCTCAGCTGCTGACCCATAGGGAGCTGTTTCATCCGCAGCAGTGTCCTCAGCTGCTGTTCCCTCAGCTGCCGATCCATAGGGAGCTGTTCCATCTGCAGCAGTGCCCTCAGCCGCTGTTCCCTCAGCAACCGATCCATAGGGAGCTGTTCCGTCTGCAGCAGTGCCCTCAGCCGCTGTTCCCTCAGCTGCCGACCCATAGGGAGCTGTTCCATCTGCAGCAGTGCCCTCAGCTGCCGATCCATAAGGAGCTGTTCCATCTGCAACAGTGCCCTCAGCTGCTGTTCCCTCAGCTGCTGACCCATAGAGAGCTGTTCCCTCTGCAGCAGTGCCCTCAGCCGCTGTTCTCTCAGCTGCCGACTCATAGGGAGCTGTTCCCTCTGCAGCAGTGCCCCCAGCCGCTGCTTCCTCAGCTGCCGACCCATATGGAGCTGTTCCATCTGCAGCAGTGCCCTCAGCTGCTGTTCCCTCAGCAACTGACCCATTGAGAGCTGTTCCATCTGCAGCAGTGCCCTCAGCCGCTGTTCCCTCAGCTGCCGACCCATAGGGAGCTGTTCCATCTGCAGCAGTGCCCTCAGCCGCTGTTCCCTCAGCAACCGATCCATAGGGAGCTGTTCCATCTGCAGCAGTGCCCTCAGCCGCTGTCCCCTCAGCTGCCGACCCATAGGGAGCTGTTCCATCTGCAGCAGTGCCCTCAGCTGCTGTTCCCTCAGCAACCGACCCATAGGGAGCTGCTCCATCTGCAGCAGTGCCCTCAGCCGCTGTTCCCTCGGCTGCCGACCCATAGGGAGCTGTTCCATCTGCAACAGTGCCCTCAGCTGCTATTCCCTCTGCTGCCGACCCATAGGGAGCTGTTCCATCTGCAGCAGTTTCCTCAGCCTTCGACCCGTATCGATCAGCGCCACTGGCGCCTGTTTGTTGTTCTGCTTCTGACGCTTTTCGTGACTCATTGTGATTCGTTTCTGCGTTTGTGGCAGATGCGTAAGTTGAGCCAGCGTCGATTGTACTCAGTTTTTTGTTTCTAATTTCATCTGGGTTTTGGTATGTGTACATGTATGTGTAGGCAGAGGAGTCTGTGTCGGCTGGTTTTTCAGGTTCGGTATGTGTTGTTTTGTAATAATCTTCGCGTTCTGTACCCGAAGACTGACTGTTATTCTTTGAAGGTGTTGATTTGCTCCCCTTGACTTCTGTGGGAATCTGGCTCCCCGATCCCTTGTATTGGGAGCCGTCTTGGGTTCTCGGGGTTTCAGTTTGAACCTGACTTCCTTTTTGGTACTCTTGAGATCCTCCTTCATTGCCCAATTGCTGACTAGCCACTTGAGACCCTTGAAACTGAGACCCATATTTGGTTCCTGGTGGTTCCGTGGGTATTTGGCTTCCATACTGGTTCTGGGACCCTGATTTAGTTCCTGGAGGTTCCGTGGGTGCTTGACTTCCATACTGGTTTTGGGATCCTGATTTACTTCCCGGAGGTTCCGTGGGTACTTGACTTCCATACTGGTTCTGGGATCCTGATTTAGTTCCAGGAGGTTCCGTGGGTACTTGACTTCCATACTGGTTCTGGGATCCTGATTTAGTTCCCGGAGGCTCCGTGGGTACTTGACTTCCATACTGGTTCTGGGATCCTGATTTAGTTCCCGGCGGTTCCGTGGGAACTTGACTTCCATACTCGTTTTGGGATCCTGATTTACTTCCCGGAGATTGTGTGGGTACTTGACTTCCATACTGGTTCTGTGATGCTGATTTACTTCCCGGAGGTTTCGTGGGTACTTGACTTCCATACTGGTTCTGGGATCCTGATTTAGTTCCAGGAGGTTCCGTGGGTACTTGACTTCCATACTGGCTCGGAGGTTTCCATGATTCTTCTTCAGCCATTGGTGCTTCAGTTGGATTCGTAGTACTAGGCGGAACCGTATTCGTTGGCGGAGTTCTGTAGGTAAAACCTTTGGATTCACTACTACCAGACCGATCTGAATTATAAGTTTTCGACTTCCATGAACCGTTACTCTTGGCTGTTCCAGATTTCTCCGTCGCTGAATCTTTTTTTGAATTTTCGGCATATGGATCCACTGAGCCGTATGGATGGGTCGCTGGGCCGCCATCTGGAGGATCAGACTCTTTGCGGTTTTTGAAGTAGGTGTAAGGTGTTTTAGCCGAATCGTTCACACCGCCGACATCAACACCTCTAACCTGTCCGTCGTGTTTCATCGGATCTTCGTCAATTTCATCTTCATTTGTGAACCGAGACGACTTGGTTGTCGCTGAATTCTTTTTTGTCGTGTCGTTTTCAGCCTCGGCTACATCTTCGTCGTCAACGTCGTCGTATTCGCTGTTACCCTCTTCGGGCCCGTCGATTTCTTCGTATTCCGAGCCATCCTCGGCTTCTTCGTCCCCGGTTTCAGCGTCGGTCGCTCGCTCGGTACCCGATGCATCTGTGGCTTCTGAAGCTTCAGTTCCCCGCTTCTTGTTTTTCTTGGGAGGCATTTGAACTATTTTTTTTCGGTTTGTGGGTTTTTAGTTTTTTCGTCTCGACTAAACAAAAACAAATCAAGCACGGGGTATCTAATTGTACTATATTTCTTTAGATGGCTCTCTTTTCCACTCTCTCGATCCCCCCCCCCCCCACACACACACACACACAGACGACAATTTGTAACAGGCGAAAATTTTTAATAGGCGACAATTTGGAACAAGCGACAATTCGTAACAAGCGACAATTTATAACAACAGACAACTCGTAACAAGGCATTAGCAAGTAGAAGATGCGTGCTCGCGAGGCTCCGCTAACATCCGGCGCAGCTTGAGAGGAATGCTGCGCGTCAACCTGTTTTACCCGCTTAATCTAAAGTTACGAGTTGTCGTCGCTTCTTACAAACAGTCGCCTTTTACGAATTGGCGCCTCACGAAAAACATTTAGTCTCTTTATTTGGCTAAAAAGTTTTGTAAGCTACCCTGAATTTCAGTTATGAAAAGGTTTTAGCATTGTCATAGTGAAATGAAACTTATGAAAGTGAACAATTTCATAAAACTCTGAAAAATTTCAAAAAAATAAAGGATTTGTTCATCAAACCTTACATCGTAACCTTGTGCTTTCAGCCATATTTATTGTAATTATGGCCGTGTATTTATGGTTTTTTTTTTATAGCATGATGGTTTTTTTTATATATTTTTAAATATAGAAACTATGGCTAAGTATTTATGGTACGAAGTATTTATAGTAAGTTTGGCTAAAAGCGAAATGCGTAAGGTTACGAAGAAAAGTATGAAGAAAAAATCAGTTAACTTTTGAAAAATTGTTCACTTTCATAATTTTCAGTTCACTGTGACAAAGTTAAAAAAACTTTTTCATAATTGAAATTCAAATGTGTTGGATGTGGAGAGTAGCCTCTAAATTTTTTAAGCCATATAAAGAGTCGGCATCTTTTTCGTGAGGCTATAACAATAGAATAAAAGAAGCTGGAAAAAAGAAAAGAAATAGAAAAATTGGAAATGGTAGGGGGAGGAGGAAAAGAGCCAAAATTTAACAAAAAAACTAGTCTAGTCTACTTTGTTAAAAAAGCAAGAGATCCAGCTTCAGTTCATGAAGAATCGTCTTGAGCTCGAAGTTTTGGCTCTTTTCCAGTTCCCCCCCCCTTTCAAAATACCGAGTTTTATGTTTGTTTTACGTGTTATTACGGCTAAATGCGTGATGTTACGCTGTAAAGTATGAAGAACAAATCTGTTCAGAATTGTCGATTTGTTCACTACGCCAAATTTCATTGCATTGTGTCAACGTTAAATAGACTTTTCAAAATTGAATTTGAAAGGGGGGGAACTGGAAAAGAGCCGAAGTTTTTGTCGAGGAAAGTCAGAAGGAGCCGAATACCTAATGAAGCTGTATAACTAGAGGACGCGGCTCTTTTTCCGTTTCCCCTCACCTGCAAATTTTTCCATGTAAATTTGTTGACCACATTGTTCGATTGTTATAAAAATTTACATACAGACTAATAAGGCCACGACAATCATATTTGGTCTTCATACTCAACCTCGTAAAACCACTCGTTACACTAATATGTTGAAGCTCGGGTGAGGTGGGGGGGGGGGGGGGAGTAAAAAGAGCCGAGGACGCTTTGAAAATCAGTGGGTTTCGTCGGAATAGGTCTAAATTGACAATGGCAACTCAAGACACTCAATCTGAAGAAGGCGAACTAAGAATTGCATGAACACTAGATGGCCAGCTCAACTACTGGTTGAGACCCTATTGTCGGATCAAATGATCAAATTGGATCCTAATTTGTATCAAGTTTTGAAGTACCGTTTAGGAGAAACTTGACTATTGTGCAGACTGCTCATCTGAATGAGAAATTGTTTGAAAGCGCATGCATCTCAATTCATGATGCAAGCTCTCCAATTACCGCACCCTCAATTTGAATTTGCCGCATACCAAGGTATATAGCTCTAACAAAACTCAGGTACAGTTAGATCCGACTACTTTCTGAAGCCAGAAACTAATTATGCGGAGTAGTATCTATCAGATTAATCTCACCCCAAGCAATTGGCAGATCGCTCACGGGTCGTTGTCTCCTTTATTCTTAGTACATTTTTTTGCCAGCCAATTTCAAACCGAACAGTTTCTCATACGAAAGCCTCAATTTTCGCATTCTCTCGCTTCACTCATTTTTTTCGAGCAAACAAGGATGGTTCTTCGGTTATCCAGTGGAGAAACAACGTTTTTTGTTGAGTACACAAACAGATATCTACATCTAATGACAAAAGGCTTAGTCGCATCTCAGGTGTGTGAAAAGAAGTGCACCCCACCAGCCGCTGCTACAATTTCCAAGCCAACCACAAATCAAGCTATGGTTAAAGATTTAACACAGCCTGAAAATTCCATTACCAGATTGAAAATTTTCTTCAAACTCCATACGTCATAATGTCGAATTGACCTACCTTAGAGCTCTTGTTTCAGGAAAGTGAACAAAACAATCGCGAAATTTGCCGACAATGACGCTTTTTACACAAATGCTCTGAGAAACCTATCGAAGAATTTTTAACAGCCAGAGAGAGAAAACATCAGAAAACATCAGAAAAACATCATCAGTTTTGCTTCGTGTATATCAAAACTTGTCGCCTTTTTGGAATTGCTCGGAAAAGTACGTCAGTCTTGAATCAGTCAAATTATTCCTAAACTGCAACCCAATCAGGGGCGGATTTAGGGGGGGGGGGGCGGACGCCCCTTCCCCTCAGGGATTTGACCCCCTGCCGACCCAAAGGGTCCCCCCTTTGATACTTTTTCAGAAATCCATTTTTGGCCGACCGACCCTAAAATTTTTCTAAAGGCGCCTTTGGCGCCAATAAATGCTATTTTTGAGGGGGAGCGCGCGCCAAAAAAACGCATTTTTTTTGTCAAAATTTTTCAAAAAGTGCCCAAAAACGGCTTTTTGACTGTTTTTTCAAAAATATGCCTGCGGCGCAGAAAATTGTGCCAAAATAAGGGCAAAACAGTGCTTTAGGAAAGCGCGAAAAATAAAAATCATTTTGGTCGACCTAAAAAAAAAAAAGGTCGTCAAAATTTTGGAAAATTTTTTGAAAATCCGCCCCCCCCCCCTCGAGAAAATCCTAGATCCGCCCCCTGAACCCAATATGGAAGAGTTCTAATCTCTACACTCAAATGGAAGATGTTGAAAACCACCAACAAAAACCAACAACGCACTTTTTTTTCTTGAGCTGCCACAAAGTCGACAAGCCGACATACTCTGTCTGGCATTCGTAGTGAAAAATCGTGCTGTGTTTGTAGAAAAACCGCATCTCAACGGGTTCAGTGCGGCCCTCAAAACAATTCGTACGAATCAAATTTTGCGGAGATGACCAAAAACCAGCAATGGCAGCAGGCCGGATTGCGAAATCATAAGAAAAAATATGTTGTTAAAATGTGCTACCTAAAGTTTTATCTCAACGCCGTTGATCAAGGAAGGCATCAGTAACGAAATAGTGACAATACAATTTCGAACACTACCAGTCCACGAAATTGCTGCAAACCAGCGATTTCGTTGCCTCAAATCACTGATTTGTAGTTGGTAAAAAATAGCAAGAGTTCTTCCAGTACTTGGAAAAAAGCTCATGAGTTGTGGTTCAAGAAACAATTGGAAAATGGTTCAAGGTTTAAGGTTCGTTTTGTACCCACTGACGGATCTCACCAAGTCTCGCACTACATTTACTTTCAGCTGGTTAATAAGTAGATATTCGGTTGAACGGCTTCGATGTGATGGAGTCCGTCTTCACTCACCTGTTCGATCTGAACGTGTTCGCTGAATTCGATCAAAAAGAATACACGTTTAAAGTAAAGCTGGTTGTCAAACAAAATTTGAGCGTTGGTTCCAAAACAGTAGAGTTTCTTATATTTCATTTTATGCCTCCTTGGTTCGACTTGTCTCTTGAAAATTATTCAGAGAAGGAAAATTGAACCTAAAGAGCAATACGCTTCAAACTCGTACGACCATGATCTAAATCTTGAACAATTTGGCACGATTTGGCTCGTTTTTACGGGGCATCACAATTTCGAAGCTAATAACAATTTAACTGGCTTCTTTTCGGTCTGTATCTGCTGCAAAAAAATTACTTGTGGTGTTTAGGCAGGTCTTAGGATGATTTTAACATGTTGACAGGTCGGATTGCAAGAAGTCGAGCAGTTTTCGTCGCGTTTTTAGACGCCGACAATATAAATGAGAAAAGTTTCTTACAATATTTTAGGTATACCATCGGAATATTCTTCTTTAATTTGTGCTTGTTATGCTCTACGCAAAACAGTTCTCGATCATAAAGATCGTTATCTCGAAACAGTTAAAAATGTGCTAAGGGTTTTCTGCATAGATGAGTACCCTGGCTACGTAAAAAATCCAAAATCTCTTTAAAATTAAGTCGCAGTTTGATAGATCTGCTAAAATTAGCTGGTCTCAATTTATCAACTTGTTGATAATGATCCAGTTTTGCCAACTGAACTAAACCTTATTAAAGCCAAAGCTAGTGGCACTGAAAAATCTTTACGTATCTAACACTCTGAAAAACGCATCGCATTTTTTAAGTCTCAAACGGAAGCACGGTTACCCGTACCTTGTTTATAAGCAGAGGAGTTAATCGCGAAATCAATAATTGTTTACAAAGCAATCCTAATTTTTGTGTCGTTCGTAATCGACCCATTGGTCGTTTTGGGTCGTTCGTAATCGACTTTCAATTGCAATGTTGAAAATCTAGCCTTTGCCGACCAAGTGAATAAAGGTTACAAGCTAGTATGGGAGGTTTAAAGCTAGTTGATTCACGTTCTGCAGCTGAAACTTTGTTTCAGAAAGTTCTGGATTATATCACGTCTCCTGATGGCAGCCGTTAGAAACCAAACTCTTTTTCTATTTTGTTTTATGCTTTATTTAATCAGCTTAGGTCTCTTGAAAATTGTTAAGCGAGAAAAATGAACCTTAAAGAACAATACGCTTCAAATCCGCACCACCCTT